CTGCCAAGGAGGAGGAGGAGGAGGAAGATGCAGCTGTGGTGAGTACAGCTCTTGCTGGCATCCCCTGCATCCCCTGCACTGCTGCTGGGACCACTGTGAGCAGCACTGTGGGAGGATGGGTTTGGTGTGTGAAGCCAGTTTGCACATGGCAGAGCTGTGATGCTCAGCCCTGGCTCTCATTCCCCACCCTGCTCCAGTGCCCACAGGGTTCCATCCACGCCCAAAGGCAGGCAGAGCCTGTGCCCCCTCCCACAGGCTGCTGCAGGGGGTGCTGGGCTCCCTGCAAACACACCACAGGAACAGGAGCATCTCTGTGATGCTCATCCCTGTGGGTGTCACTGTCATCAACTGAGGGCTGGGGACAGTCCTCTCCTGCCTGGTGACAGCAGTGTGTGTGTCCCTGTGTCCCACAGCTCAGGCTTTCACGGGCATATCTGACAAACAGCTCCACCCCGAGTGACCCAGAGGCCCCTCCTGAGGCCGGGCTGAGGCGGGATGTCGGCGCACAGAAGGGAGATGCAGGTAAGAAGCCCCAGGCAAATGTGACATTTGAGAAGGCAGGAGTGAAAGGTGAAGGCATTTCCCAGCCCAGAGCTCTCTGCTGGGCTCTGCACGCACCTGCAATCCCACCCTCCAGGCACCAAGGGCTCCCAGCTCTTCTGGGCCTTTGGGGAAATTCAGGTTTCACATTTCTGTCCTTGAGAGCTCAGTTTTCTACCCTAGATAAGTCCAAAATTCAGGCTCAGTATAAATGGCGAGAAAGTAATCTTGGTTTTTCTGGAGAAAGGCCCAGTGTCTGTGTCCAACACCCCTGGGGTGTCCTGGGACACTCAGCAGAGCATCTGCATGGAAATCTCCAGGAGCTGAGGAGTCAGCATTGGAAAAATACTCTTAGAAAAACCCACTCCAGAATGAGCAGGAATAGGACAATGTTGCTCCAGCAGAAAACCCATTCATTCCACAATGAGCAGCAACAGGACAAAGTTGCTGCTCCAGCATTTCCCACTCCTCTCAGGGAAGAAGCAGCTCAGAATGCCCCAAAAGAGATGGGGAAAATGCAAGAGGTTTGCAGGACTAGCACTGGAAAACCAGCCCTGTCTGTCCCCTTGCTCCAAAGCGTGTCCTGTGATGACACAGCACAGAGGGCTGAGCACAGAGCCAGGGATGCTGTACCTGCAGCAGGCAGATCAGGATGGTTTCCTTCCTTCCTTCCTTCCTTCCTTCCTTCCCTTGCTCCACCCTCCACAAGAGCCCTCCCAAGGCTCTCTCCCTGCCTGACCCCCAGGGACACAGGTGCCAGGTCTGTCCAGGCAGGTGGGAGGCAGCAGCCATGGGGATCAGGGTGGGAAGCACGTCTGCTGCTCAGTACCAGCCTTACTGGCTCAGCCAGAAAGTTGAGCTAGCCTGGATTAGTTGGTCTGGGCGTGTCGGAGTGGTTTGGGAACACTCTCCAGAGCAGGATTTTTCACAGTGGAGAGGAAAAACAAAAAAAAAAAGGAGTCCTGTGTGATTTACATGCTAAGGAGATATCATCATGGCAGAAGAATTTCAGCTGATTACATTCTGGGTGTGGGAATACAGGACTTTCTTCAGTTCTCACCTTAAGGTTGACACAGAGCCCGGGAAACAATACACAAATACTTCTGCACTTTCTAGTGAACCTTAACCTGCAGGAAGAGGATGAGGTGAGGATGGGATCAGGCTACAGGGAATCCAGGAGTGCCTGGAAGCAGCATCACCTGCTCTCCCACCTCTGCAGGGCCAGCAGGAGGGGCTGCCCTGCTGAGCCCCATCCTGGCTAGAGCTGGGTGTGATGAGCAACAAGAATTGAGCTTTGGGGTGCCCCTGCCCCTGCACAGCCCTTTGTGCCCCCCATGGGCAGCTGAGGTGTGTCACTGTGTGTGCAGACAGGGTGATGCCACCACCACCAGCCCCTGAGATCAGTGTGAGCAGAGGTGGGGTGTGTGCAGGCACATGTCTGGGGCTGTGCAGCCCAAGGGCTGTGCACACTGAAATGCTTTTCCTGGGCAGCATCTCCCCTGCCTTCCCTTCCTCTGCTCCTCAGCACACATTCCCTGCCAAGAGCTGCTGGCTGAACCAGCAGCAGACATAGGATTGTCCCTTTTGGCTTCTTCACCCCAAATGCTTCTCCCCACCTGGGGCTCAAACAGGAAGGTGCATTCTGGGGCTTAAACACCCCCAGTTTCCCTCCTGTGTGTAGTCACAGATGTTGGGACAGCTCTTGTGACCTTGGTGTAGCAAAGTCCAGTGGACACAGCTTTCCTGGGAGCTGCTTTCCCAACAGACTCTTGTTGGATCACTCCTGAACATTCATTCCAGGCCACGTAGCTTGCAGTGCCTCTGCTTCACACCACAGTGTATTGCTGAAGCTGCTTTCTGCCTCAGTGGCTCTGTGAGCCTGGACCAGTGGCTCTGCATCTGCTCATGAGCTTGTCAATCCTGCCACCAGCCAAAAAAACTTATTTTGTGTTTCTTTAGATGACAATGATGCTGAGTCTGGGAAGCAAGAATCTGATGAGCCAGACACAACGGACAGTGAGGTTGGTTTGTTTGTTTGGTTTGTTCTCAGCCATCAGCTCAGGCTGGTGGCTCCCAGAGATATCAGACAGGCTGTCCCAGAAGGTGGCGGCTCTTCCTGCACCAGGTGCCAAACCTCATTCCCACCCTGTTGCACAACTTGCTGCTGAGGGGCAGAAGTGCCACTCTTTCCAGCCAGTCAAGTCTTTATGAGCACTGCATTTGTCATCACTCATAGCAATGGTCACAAAGGTCCCTGGCAAAGCCACCAGCTCCCTGGGAAAGCCAGGGTGGTTTGCAGACTGATGTTCTTCTTCTTGGTGTAGGAGAAGTATGAAGATGAGATCCTACAAGAAGCCGAGGCTGACGGGAAATACTTTTGCACCAAAGACAAAGTTCACGTGCAGCAGAGGAAGAGAAAAAGAGGACAGGATCCCTGGATAAAAGGTAGGGAGGAGAAGTTCCTTGGGGCATCAGCTCAAGGCTACAGCTTCTGCTGCTTCCAGAGGGACTCCTGTGAGAAATGCCCAAGGACAGGGCAGAGGAGGGTTCTCCTCTGAGCCGTGTTTTTGCAGCACTCATAGCTCCAGGCAGAGGACCCCCAGCTAATGGTTAGCCAGGACAGCCTGGGCAGGGTGGCCAGGAGAGCACCCCAAGCACCTAAGCTAACAGAGCTTAGTCCCTTGTGTTTGCTTATCTGGTCAGGGGGGTGGCGACTGGGGAAGGCCAAATTCCCAGGTTATTGACAGTCAGAGGAAGGTTCCTGCCAGCTCTGTTGATCCTCCGCTGTGGCTGTGGAGGTTTCCCTGCTGACAGAGGAATGTGTTGTACCCATGTTTCCTCCAGGTGAACAAGCAGAAAACTGCTCCTGATAAGGGCAGGGATAAGACAGTTTGTCTGTCAGAAAACCCTGCTGCTCACCACTCTGTCCTGGTGGTAAAAACAGCCAAGCGTGGGCCCAACCATTAATGTAGAGAGGGCTGTTGCTTAAGCTTGAAGGGACCTTTTTGCCAGCCTGGCCTTCAGAGGGCCCTGCTGGCTCAGGGGACAGCAGCACAACTGGTGACAAGAGGGTTTGCTGTACAAAACCAAACACTTGGAGCAATGGGAGGAGCACAGCTGTGCTGTGCAGCCCAGGGCAGGCACACACACCCCTCCAGGACTGGATGGGGATGTCCCAAGTGAGGGGTGGGTGCAGCTGGGGCAGGCATGGGGTGATGGAGGGGCATAGCACCTCTCTCAGCATGTGGTATGAGCCATGAGCCACACTGGAGCAGGGAGAAACCCACAGAAGGCATCTTGCTGCTCTGGGATGCTTCTGCACCAGGTCAGTTCTCTGCCTGTTTCTCCTTCACATTGTTTTGTGTCCGGGATAACAACAGCCTCCCCTGGATACCCACACATCTCACATGTGAGGGGTTTCTCTCCATCTTTCCTGTGCTGAGCTTTGCTTCCTCCTGTGCTGTCCCTGTTTTGGGATGAGGCCATGCTGACTCCAGAAGTGTAAATCCATTTCTCTGTGGCTAACTCCTGCTGTCATCTGGCTGTTTACAGGATCTAAGAAGTCAATGAGAGGAAAAAAGAAAATCAAAGTGGAGCAATGCCCAGTGGGGATCACAAAGGAGCTGGAGAATTGCTCTGCTTCCCACAATGATCCCTCCAAGGACAGTTAACAGCAGGGCAGGATGGAGCAGCTGCAGACCAAAGGACAGAGTTCAGAGCCCTCAGAATCCCACCCATGCTGGAGAGTGAATCCTCCTGTTGTGCTGGGCCAGGCAGTGGGGAATTCATAAGGACTCGTTTGTGAGCAGAGCACCCTGAAAGTCCTCACAATGCCACAGGAGAGGCTGGGCAAGGATGAGCCATGCAGGTGACACCTGGAGCAGCCACAGTCAGTGATCTGTGCCAGAGCAGACCCTCAGGCTGGAGCTGGGAAGAGGAGATGTCTCTTTGGAACCCTTACCCTGCACCAGAACCGTGTTATCCCTGGGATTTCACACTTGGAGAGCAGACCTCCAGAGCCCTCTCCTCATGAAGGATGTCCCAGTGGCTGAGGGGTGGTGACCAAACCAAACACTGCAGAGCCCCATTTAATTGCTTTGCTTCAATTAAATCCCTACCAGGTTTCATACTCACGTGGGTATTGTCTGACCTGGGGAAAGTCCACAGTTTTCTCTTCTAGTTAAATGAGGAGCAAGTACCTGGGCAGACAGGGGGATGTGTCCCTGAGAGGGCAGGGAGGAGGGTGTGGGAAGGGAGGCTTTGGGTGCTCCCTCTCACCAGTGTGTCCTGGAAAAGGTCAGTGAGTGACACCCAGCTGCAGCTCACAGCAGAGCACCAGCTCAGCAGCTCACACTGATCTTGGAGCATTGCTGGGAGCTATTTTTCACGTGGATAAATTGCTTTTTGTAATCTTTCTCTGATGGGATGAGATGGGAAGTGCTGCAGGGGGCATCCCTGCTCACAGCATCGATCCAGGAGCCGGGCTGGGCTGTTCCTGGCACACAGGTGGAGGGAACAAGGACAAAACAGAAACCAGCAGAAAAGTGCCAGAGCCAATTCCTGTTCTATTGCACTCCCACTCCCTTTACCTGCAGTTATTTCTATTTAAACGTGGGGTTTTTTACCTGTTCACAAGAACGAAGCAAAGCACAGCCAGCCACGAGCAGCACCCTTTGCTCATAGCATCTTCCCATCTCCACAGCCCTAAAATCCCACTCAGAGAGCGCCGGCTGCGGGGGAGGGTCCAGCACTGCCCGGGGCAGCCTCGCATC